AAGTATATAAGAAAATAAGTGATTTCATGTGTAGAATAATGTCCCATTTCCAATAATCCCATTATGTTATAGAAATATTGAAAAATCTGAAATCTGAAATATCTCTGGTCCCATGCATTTTTAATAGGGATAGTCAATCTGTGTTGTGAATTTTGTTTCTTACAAGGTATTTTCTCAAGTAATGCTATCCTACTTGTTCTCTTGTAAGTCTCAGAAGGTATTAAGCAATGATTTTCATAGGGAGTAAATCCTGTCTGTAGAATTCCAGCAGGCTGGCAATAATGTTTATATTTATCATGTATTATGTATTTCTGGAAACACACAAAACAAATTACAGAGTCCCAGTATATTATTATATAATCAATTGGTATGAAAGAGATGGGGAGGAATGTCATTCTAATACATTAAGGTCTTTATTGAACTGTCAATATATTTGAATAAGTATTCAAGAAGTATCATAAATGTTTACAGTTCAGGCATGAGTGTGCACCTATCAAACCTGATGATTTAGAGGGCATTTATATCTTTGCCCAGTGAGTGAATCAACCTTACATCAAAAGGAATGGAAATGCTTTTTGGAAGAAAGAGGTAGATGTCAAGATTTTTTGTTCATAGTTACTTTTGCCTTTTGAGAACATATTCAGTGATTCTTCCATTTATGTCACAAAAAACTTCATGTTATCCTGTTAAACATGTAACTCTGAATATGTCTGTCTCCCTTCCCATTATTTCTCAGTTTTATTTCCTAGAAAAGAAATACTCAACACATTTCAGAAGTTGGAAATAAATGATGAAACTGATAGTTTTTCAAAGATGTTGTTGTCATAAATACATAAATGTTTTTATTATTTGCGTTATTTGATCTAGTGTCTCCACACAATGCCTGCCAAAGGTTTTGACATTTTGTTTCAAAGCCAGGAACAAATTATCAAGACTGTTGAATACTGTTTCTATCTTTAAATGCTAGCAGTTGGATCACAGTTGTAAACAAAGAGCACACAACCATAAAAATATCAGACTTATTTTGAATTAGTACCCATGAAAAAAAATAGTTCTTTATTTGTTTATTTTATTTTATTTTATTTTTGGTATGAGGAGTCTAACTCAAGATCTGGTTGTTTTTCTTTTTAATATGATGGTACAAGGAATGAGTAGTCTTTGGTTAGTTTTTAAATCACTCCAAACTCTATTATCTACATTTCTTATATATCTCTGCTAGTTGAGATCACAGTGCAGTAAAAGCAGTGGTGTCCTAAGCAACAATGCTTCAGTCACATAAGCAGTAGTAGTAGGACCTCACCCAGGAAGTTCCTGCTGAGCTTGTATTTTGACCCTGTGCTCTGTACCCACTCAGTGTCACATGTGTGACTTTCTATGGGGTTTTTTTTCCTGTCTTTATTTGCTGCCCATAGCATTGTTATACATATGTTATGTAACTATTTTTCTTTCCTAAGGTAACATTTCCCTTACTTTTCTGTTTCTTACTCATTTGCATGGCTAAACCTGCCTTATGTAAGGAATCTAATCTGCATATTAATTAATCTGTATTAAAATTTCATTCTAAAAGTGTGGATTGTGATTATGCCCCTAAAATGTCTGATGTAAAAGATTTGTATTTTCCTTAGGTAGAAATCAACACACAGGGCTGTGTGGTGACATATGCCTGTAGTTCAGCTCTTGGTAGACTGATGCAGGAGGGTCACCATGAGATCAAGGTAGCCTGGGCCATACAGGGAGTTCAAGACCTGCCTGCACTCAAAGCAAGACCCTGTCTCTTAAAAAAAAAAAGGCACACAAAGTTGCAGCTTTACCATATTGAACTATTGACAAAATAAATCTGAGGAACTGAAAACGTTTCATATATATGTCTAGGCACATCAAAAGACATTTTTGGCTATAGGCATGATTATTAGACATTTGGAATTCTAAACCATGTAACCCTCTTCCCACCACCCATGAAGATACATTCTAAGACCCCTGATGGTTGCCTGATCCTGCAGATAGTACTGACCACTCTATAAACTATGATATTTTTCTTACCCATATAAAATTACAATACAGTTTTATTGATAAATTAACAGCAAAAATTGAAAATATTAATAAAATAATTGTAACAATAAAGCATAATCAAAAAGTTCTAAAAACTTATAAATTATTTATTTCTGGAATTTTTCTTTTATTATTTCAGGTCACGGTTGACAGGTAATTGAAACCATGCAAAGCTAAACTTCTAAGGTTTAGATATAGGGATCTAGTATATGTGACATGTCAGATGTTATTAAATAATTTTAAGGCGGGTTTTTTACAGAATTATTGCAATGGTAGAAGACCTACCAAATTGAGCCTTGCAGAAAGGGAAAGAGAGTGGACTCAATTTGGAATATGACAATGAAAAGTGGAGATTTTATACCTAAGGAATAGGTAAGAGAGAATGGATAGAAAGTTCCTAAGAGGAAGGGTCAAGGGTGAGAAGGATTTTAGCAAAACCTACCTAAGAGACCTTAAGGCTAAACAAGGTGGTGAGTCATCATCTGAAGATGAAGATGGTGTGAGAGGAGTTACTTGAGACAACACGGGTGGAGAGTTCTGGCTAAAAGGAAGCAGCAAGACTCTTGGTAAAACCAGGTTTCTGAGGATGTGTCCAAGGCTCAGAGGAAGCTGATTAGAGTTTGAAGGAGAAAAAGGTTGTCATGATTCCAGACTCTTTAGCAATGACAAGTTTCCTCTGTGTATGCATCTTGATCATTAGCTTAGTGTCCTCCCTGACAGCCCAGGGTCTCTCAGGCCACATTTTATTCAAGGAAAATATTCTTGGTTTTCCCAACATGAAGATGTGTACCCAGTAGAAGATTCAAGTATGGGTTAAAAACCTAACCATGATATAATTTGGGGGAAGAAAATGCAAAATTGAAAAGCAAGCGCATTTTATGATTTGAATAAAATTTAAGGGTTTCAAAATTTCTTGAGTAAATTTGTCAAATTTAAGGCCTCATAGACCCTGAGAAGTATTTTCTGAATAAAATGTTTGAATATATAATTTCTGTGTGCTTTAGTAGTTGCCCATGAAACATGCCTGAGAACATTTTTTTTATTCTCTTCCAGATGGCATAGATGACAGTCAGGAGAACAGTTTAAGAGACTTAATAGAAGAGCTTCCGCAGACCCACTACTGCCTGCTCAAGTATGTCTGCTGGTTCTTGACAAAAGTAGCTAAACACCATTTGCAGAATCGCATGAATGTTCAAAATCTCGCCACTGTATTTGGACCAAATTTCTTTCAGTAAGTTAATGAAATTTTGATTTTAATATATTTTCGTCTTTTTATCATAGTACTTTTGATTGGGGTTAAATGATATCAGTGATTTTGATTTGCATTCCCTGATGTTAAGCATTTTTTTCAAAAACTTATTTGCCATTTTATATATCTTCTCTTGACAAATATCTGCAATTCATTCACCTATTGTAAAATAATTTTTTATTCATTTTTTAAATTTTTTCTTCATTTGTTTTCTCTTGAGTTGTTTGAGTTCCTTGTGTATTCAGGAAATTAATCACTTTTCAGCACTTCCTCCCATTTTCTAGGTTGACCCCTCACTCTGTTGATTGTTTGCTTTAATGTGCAGAAGGTTAGGTGTAATTTCATTTGTCAGTTTTTGCACTACTGCCTCTGCTTTCAGTGTCATGTCCAAAACATGTTTGCCCAGTCCAATGTCCAGAAGCATTTTCTGTATGTTTTATTGTATGAATTTTATAGTTTTAGGTATTGTAGTTAGGACTTTGATACATTTTGAATTTTTTATCTAGTTAAGAAAAGTGTCTAATTTCTTCCTTTTGCATATGGATATCCAATTTTCATAAAACCACTTATTGAAGATATGTGTTGTCTTTGCTGCATTTGTTGAAAATCAGTTGTCTGCAAATATATTGATTTGTATCTGACATATCTATTCCATTCATCTGTGTATTTTTATGCCAATACCATGCTGTTTTGGTACCATGCTGCTTTCTTAATTTTCTTCTCAAAACTTTTACAACAGGGGTACAAAAAATAGCCATGGAGTTTTTATGCCACAACCTTACCAATTGATCTGTTCTGTTATGGCTTCTGTCTAGCTATCCCTCCAAAGCTTCATGACTCATGGAAAGTGCGGTTTCAAAGATGTCTGAAACTAGAGTATGTGATGTTGGGATTAAGAGTGTGTGATTAGTAGGTGAATCTACTGATTGGCTTGGCTTACTTCTAGCTAGGATTAAGAGTGTGACAAATAGCCTACATACAATATAAGAAAGAGTTGCCCCTTTGCTTGCCTGCCTTCTGTCACCATAAGCTGTTGCTCCTCTGCCATGTGCCATCTTGCCTTCGAACCAGGCAATTATGGACTGAAACCTCTACAAAATGTGAGCTAAATGAACCTTTCTTCCCTTAACTTTAGGCACTGGTTATATTGTCCTAGCAACAAGAAAAGTAACTGAGACAAGTTCTAACAGTTTTTTGATTGAGCATTGGGGTTTTTATGTATATAGAATCATGCAGGTAGCATTCTCCAATCTATAATTTTTAATGGGAGAATTTAATCAATTTAAATTTAAGGTTATTTTTGACATATCCCTCTATGTCTCCTAGTTGTTTTGAATGTCTTCTGTTGCTTTGTTCCTTTCTTATTCATCTTTGTGATTTGGAGTTTTCTGCATTGGTAAGGGTTTTTGTTTGTTTGTTTGTTTGTTTTGTTTTGTTTTTGTATTTTAGAGAAGGGCCTACAGGGTGTTCAGGGTCTCACTACTAGATCAGACTTGTAGTGATCTGCCTGTTTACAGCCTCCCAAGAGCTGGGATTATAGGCACATGCCACCGCGCCTAGTCTTGGTAAGGTTTTATTCTCTTTCTCTTTTGTGTATTGGAACTTGTGAGTTTTGAATTTCATTTTTAGTGTGTTTTTCATGGTTGTAGTTATTATCCTTTTCCATCTAGTGTGGGACTCCCAGAACCATTTTTTATAGACTTGTCTGTAATGATGAATTTCCCATTTTTGCTTTAGAAGTGATTTCATTTTCATTTCTGAAGGGTATTTTTTCTGGTGTGGTGGATTGCCAACTGGTACTTAACTAATAACACACAGCTGAACTAAACCAGCATGGTGCTTGGTATGGGAGGCCCACCTAAGGCTTGTTGCTAAACTGGAGAGGAAGAAGTTTGGAGGTTGGAGCTGCTGGTGGGTCTCCTGATGAACTCAGCTATTCTCATTCTTGAACAAACTTGAGACCTTGTCACTGGGAATGGCTATGGCTCATTTTGGGGGGAGCTATGATCCTTACTTTGAGCATCACTTCCTGGCTCCAGAGGGGAAAATGGTACACTGTTCAGTGTCCTGGGGAAGCTTGTCATGCTGCCCATTCTGACATAGACTCGGCTGTTCTCATCAGCAGAGGAGCTTGGGACCTTATTATCTCTGAGAATGGCTATGGTCCTTTTTAGGAAGCTCTGATTTTTATTTTGAGCATCATTTTCTGGCTCCAGTACAGATCTCTCATCCTACTGCATTGATCCTTCATCCCACTGGCACAGATTTTCTAGCTTCCACCACTGACCTTTGGGCCTTCCCAGCACAGATCCTTGAAACAGACTTGCATGAGACATGGCCATGTGAGGGGCATTGTCACTGGTTTCAGGTCTTCAGGTGAACTTATGCAGGACATTGTTGTGGGAGCCTGGCCCTCAGCTGGATTCTTTTGGTCCTTAGTGTGTGAATGGATTTCTTGTACTGTCTGTATGTAACTCTTTGGGTGACTATTATCAAGTAACCTTATAGACTATGTGTTCTGTATATAAATTGCTCCCCTTGAAACCTGACTACAACATCTGGGAATAATATTCGTGGTTGGAAGTTGGTTTTCTTTCACTACTTTAAATATGTTATGGCATTTTTTGCTGGCTTTCTGTTTTTTCTCCTAAGAAGTGTGCTATTAGTTTTTTGGGCATTTTTAATGATAGTTTATTTTCTTTTGCTGTTTTTATAACTCTTTCTGTGCCATATACTTTTAAAAGTTGATTATATTATGCCTTCAAGAAGATTTTTTTTTTTCATTTGACTCCATTAGGAGTCCTTGGAGCTGCTTCGACCTTGGAGAGTTCCCCAAAATTGGAGGGTTCCTAGCAATTATTTTGTTGGATATATTTTTCCATACCTTTCTCTTACCTTCTGGAACACCCCTAATGAGAACATTCACTCACTTTATAGTACCCCATAAGCCTCAAAGGCTTTCTTTGTCCCTTTCATTTGTTTATTTTGTCAGACTGGATTATCTAAAAGACCTGTCTCTCACTCAGAAATTCTTTCATGTACTTCATTAGTTCTGCTGTTGAGCCCTTAAACTACATTTTTATTATTATTACTATTTCACTTACTGAATTCTTTATCACCAAGATTTCTGTTCTTTCTCATTTATCTACTAAATGTCCCAATCATTTTTATGAATCATTCTAATTTTAATAAATTATGCATCCACATTTTCTTGTATCATTACTTTCCTCAAAAGTCATTATTGTGAATTCTTTTTCAGGCATCTACCAGTTTTATCTTCCTTGGAATCTGTTGCTGGAGTTTCTATGGAAGCGTTATGCTACTTCATTTTCTTATGGGTCAGGCTTCCCTGTGTTGTTATCTGAGCATCTGGCAGATGACTTTCCTCTACAAGCCTTATAGAGTGGCTTCTGCAACAAAAGCTGTCTCCTGGTGATGTGCCTATGGCTGTTAGTTGGAGGGGTGCTTTGGTGTAGTTTTCATGTAGTTCCTGGAGCTGTCATCAGTGCTAACAATGTCTATAGGTGCCTCAGTGGCCTATGCTGCAGGGATTGTGGGACTGCATTGTCAGTCTGAGACAACTCCGGCTGTCTAGGCTGATGTGCTGGCCACCCTGTATATGGCACACCCAGCTGTGGGTGTGGAGCTTCTAACCAGCTTCTGAGGTTTGTATGAGGGCAGGGTCCCTTGATGTGCCTGTGTGGGCAGAGTACAGTTTACCCAGTAGCCAGTAGGAAATGCTTGTTGGTGTCAGAGCTAGAGGGTGAGAGGTGGGGGCAGCAGCTACACTGGTGACCTGGATCACTGAGGTCTGCACAGGTGACTTTGCAGGGCTCTGCTGCTGACCTGCTCACAGAGGTCTGCCCAGCTGCCATGAGTGTGTGGGAAGGCTGAGCATCTACATCTCCGGGACTTGATGGGCTAAGATTTTGAGAACTGGCTTCATAGCTGCTTCTTGAGGTCACTGAAAGATTGAGGGCGCTTTCCAGTTGTTTTTGAGGGGTGTGGGCAGAATGAGACACTAGGGGAAGGTTGACCAGGTGCTTTCCGGGGTTTAGTAGGAAGGCAGGGGCCACCTAAGTTGTTATTTGTAGGAACAGAAGCTCTCTGGATGGTGTGGATGGTTGGGGCCACCTGGTCCGTTTGCAAGGATAGATCTTGAGTTGTACAGGGCATCTGCCTAAGGGGCAGCTGGGTTGGCAAATCATAAGATGGCTCCATGCCCAGGGTCCTGGGTGGGTAAGGACACAGTGTGGCCTGGGCTGCTTCTTCCAGGTAAACAGTGATGTGGGGACCCCACAGTTCCTGAGAGGTGGCTAAGGGTCCGTGAGACTTGCAGGCTTCTTCAGCAACAGATGTTGCAGGTGTCCATGATGTGGGTAAGGACTAAGGGCCCCCACTTACCCTTTCTCCTCCTGCTCACTAAACACGAAATCTGTGTGAGCCTGTCAGAGTGCTCAGGTAGTAGCGACCTCCGTGGCTTGGTTCCAGTTTATGCCTTCTGAGACAACTCGGCAGGGTTTTCTTAATTTTCTACATTTGCTGTGCTTTCTGCCTTTTGCATGGTCCTCCTGTGCTTTGGTATAAGCTGCCTGCATCTGATCACTCATTTTGAGAAGGAATTGGGTTTTTTGGCTGGCTCGGACTGCCTCAATGGCAGGTCTAGTAAGGCACGGGGAGCTGTGGATCAAACCGCGTCCCCTGCGCCTGACTGGGTTTGATAGCTGCATTTTGAATGAGGAAGTTCTAAGGCCTTTTGAGCTTCTTCCATGGATTTAGAACATTGGAATTTTCAAACTGCTTAAATTCATTTTATTAATTTAGAAGTTCTATTTACTTAGAAGTTTTGTCATTTTAGTTTTCCAAATTTATGTGGTACAAAGTTATATAATAATTACTTAAAATTTTAAGTTTGTTTACCTGTTATTATATCTTATTTCTCTTTTCTAGTGTTGATTTAGACTTGTCACTAGTTTTCTTAA